CTGGAGTGGGAGTCGGTATCCTCCTAGCCTAGCCACGGATTTAGGGACTAAACCTAAGATTAACCAATGATTTTCTATGCACTATATCAGGGTAGAAAATTAAAATTGCTCATATTTGGCACAATACATATTATAAAAATTTATCCATCTCATTTCATCAGAATTTCATTATAGTGGGAATGATGCTTTTTCACATAAGAAATATTCATTACATAAACATAGTTAGTAGATTAGTAGTTATTATTCAAAATTTGCATTTATGTTTTGCTAATAGTTAAGTAATTTAGTTTAGTTAATATCTCAACATTCAAAATTAGTAACAGTGATTTTGTTTGATTTTCTGTAAATTTCCTGTTAAAGTTATCATTGCTAACTTACACCTTCCCCGTGGGATCGATATTTGGGACTTAAATAGAAAGTCCATTATTACTTGATATTGATGTGTATACTTACGTAGAATCCAATTATGAATTGCCTATAATTATATATATTTTACACAACTTACTTTTCATATAAGGAACAATTTTTTGGTGTTGTAGTGGTGTCAACTTCATAGATCCTTACATATAAAAATTGGGATTAGTTTACAAAACAAAAGAAATAAAGACACAACTTATCTCACAATTCTTCCCAAGCAAATCCCTTAGGGTTCACTTCAAGCCTTTCCCTCTTTACAAGCACTCTCAATGCTCTCTTAGAAGTGCAATGAAGAAGAAATCTCTCACTTTCCTTCTTCTCTTACAATCATTGAAAATATCCAAGCCCTAGACTTTCTCTTTTTCTCTCTTGCCTTCTTCATCTGCATGCTACACACAAACACACACACTCACACCTCATGCCCCCCAAAACTCCTCTTACAAGCCCTAGACTTCCCTCTCTTTTATAAAAGGCTGCCTCCCTCCAAAAAGAATTCAAAGTTCCCTCCAAAATTCTATCCAAAAATCAACTCTTTTGAATTCAAAAGATGTTTCCATTGATCCAAGAGACATATCACTTCATAAAAGAACCTTCCAAAGTGTCTAGATGCATTGAATCACTCCAATGGGCGTTTAGAACAAGTTTCCTTTTGAAAATTCACCCAAAATTTGTCCTGAATCGCCTTAATCAGCAAAAAGTCTTCCCCTGTGCATCATGCGCAAGTTCTGGTGCATCATGTGCCAGTTCTCTGGATTTTGGTGCATCATGCGCCAGTTTGGCGTATCATGCGCCAGTTTGGAGCATCATACACCGATTTGATGCATCATGCGCCACTCTATAGTAGCTCCACCATTTGGCTCCGTTTTAGCTCTGATTTGTCTCGTTTCAGTCGTGTTTTTCTCCTAACAGATATACCTACAAAATAAGCATGAAAAAAACATTTCTTTAAAGTGTAATTTCATTTAAAAACATGTGAGAAATGTTAAAAACAAAAGTATAATTTTATTCAAAAATAAGTGAGAAATGTAAAGTTGATTAAGCATAGAATGACATATCGAAATATGACAAGTAAGAATTTTCTTTCTTGCTCGTTTTTACTTCAAATTGCACCATTTTTGCTTCATTTTCTCCAAAAGTTCATTTCTTGTACCTGAAACAAAAAATATGTAAAATATCTTCCGCTAAAGTGTAATATCATTAAAAATCATTAAAATTGAGCATAAAATATATATGAAAAAGTAGGTAATTTTTAGGCACGTCACTCACCCTTAGGTGATCGAGACAACTCTGCCCAAGTTGAAATGTGGCATTCACAAGTTGGTGAAATCATAGCCCACTCGGGTCATTATGTTTCGCAATGATTTTTAACATTACAAGTGATAAATTTGTAAAGTAAATTAAGATCCGGTGAAAATACCATCACATTAATTGAATAAGAGAATATCTAAGCAAATCTAAATTCTTAAACATGTATTTATTTCATTGCAAAAGAAAAGTAAAATGAAGAAAATGACATAAGCAATAAAATGATTGATAGAATCATGTAATAAATTATGTACTAACAAGAAACATAAGAACATATGTCTACCTACCATCTTCCAAGTGTATAGGTATGTTTCGTATTCTATTAGTTTTATGCAACTACTGTCACCTAGAAGCATATAATAGAAACAGATCATTAAATTATATTTCGTTAAAATTTTCATTGTCACATAAACTCTTTTACTAGCCAACTGATCAATGTGAGTGCACTCAAGTTGCAAGATCATTGTTCTCCCGAGTCTTAGTTTCACTTAAAAAAATTTTGAACATAACTTATTACCAGTTAAGTTATGTTAATGAAGCAAAGGAGATGTTACTCATCACATGAAAATAAAAATAATTTAATCATAAAAAAAATTTTCCTACACATGCCACTACTTCATATTAAAAGATAAGAGTAAAGAAAACTACTTACGAAGTATGGATAAACCACAATGAAAATCTTCATTTAAATCAAATAAAATTCACTAGAAAGTGTTTACAATAATTACATTGAAATATGAAAATCTCTCCAACAAAATCTCTTGTCGTTCCATGCATCGCTCATACTTCCTTACTCATATCTCTCAAAATTCCTCACCAATCTCTCCATAAAATGAAGAAATCCACATCTCCATACTCACGCCAAACTCTCTCTAAAATCCTTCTAAAATTCTTCCTAAACCACACACTAATTACTTATCATGAGAGGCGTCAACCCTCCTACTTAAAGAGACACAAAAACCCCTCCTTTCTCAAAAAGACGAATCTCTTCATCCAAAAGACACACTCTTTCGCTCTAAGAAACACATCTCTTCATCTAAGAGCCTTTCCAAGTGTCTACATTCATTTAAGCACTCCATGGGGCTTGCAAGCTATCCAGAAGCTTCCATAACATCCCAAAATGGCCCGGAATTGCCCAAAAGCCATCCAAAAACCATCTCGGACCCAATGGCGCTAGAATCGGCGCTATAACGCTTGTATAATCATGTCTAGCGCTATAGCTCCAGAATCCGACGCTATAGTACCACTCTGCGGGCAGCACACCTGTTTTGCCCCGTTTTGACTCTGTTTCACCCCGTTTCAACTCTGGTTCGCTCCTAGTGTTATACCTCCAAGATAAACAAGAAAATAACATTTCTTTAAGGTGTAATTTTATTCAAAAACATGTGACAAATTTAAAGAAAATTAAGCATAGAAATTCATGTTAAAATACGCCAGATCAGAATTTTATTCCTTGCTCAATTTGGCTCAAAATTGCACCGTTTTTATTTCATTTTCGCTAAAGCTTCATCCCTTATATCTGAAACCAATATCATGCAAAATATATTCCTATAAAGTGCAATATCATTAAAAATGTGCATAAAACGAACATGAAATGTTCACTAAAAACAGATAATTTTAATGCGGACCACCAACTTATCAGGATAATCTGCTGATCAACAGATTATCAAAATAAGCTGCTTATTTGAATAAGTTGGATAGTTGCAGCTGCCCTAAAAACAAATTTCATACACATTTTTTCTTTTTATAATTGTACAAAATACGTCTTTATAAGTACGTGACAAAAAAGTAAATAAAAATATTTTCTCTCTAGATTTCTTAAAAAATTTCAAACTCTTTTTTCTCTCTTTTTTCTCTCTTCAAGAGAGGCTAATGTTAAGAATATATTTACAAAGAATATTAGAATCCAATAAAAATATTTGTTTTAAGTTCATACAATGATAGGGGAAACTAACCTGGCATTGCCAACTCGACGCCGTATGTCCGACGGCTCGTGCGCCGTAATTTTTTGACTCCCAATCCCTCGTCTTTCCCGAAATTTTTACTGTTAATTTGAGAAGCCGGCACGAGGCTTCTTTAAGCGTTTAGCCTCACGCGGCGGCAACCTCTTATCCAAAGTGGCTACAGCCCACACGTGTCCATTACATAACCGCATAGACCGATCGCCGCCGGTGTCCGTTCTGCTCTTTTAACTAATGCTTCACCAGCTCTGAATTTTCTTCTTTGCAGACTGCACCTACTAATAATTCGATCAAAACCCCGGGAAAGAAAATAGACGGGAAAAATATACGAAAGAGGGAAGTGAAATACCAAGGAAACCCTAATTGCTTCTACTATCGAGATTATTGAGTTGTTGAGTGAAAGCTAGGGAGAGATCAGAGGACAGAAGATGGTGGCGGGAGCGGAAATTATCCACAAGAGTGTCATCCCGGTTCTGGATGTTCAGTATCGGTGTATTTCCAAGCGGATGGATGAGATCGTCGACTTCCCGGCTACTGCGGAGGTTACGCCGCTAGATTCATCGGGCGGCACTGCTCCAGAGCTGGTGAGTTTCTGATGTCTTTTTTTCTCCGATCCGGTGAATACTTCTGTATCGTTGAAAGCGGAGTAATCGGGTAACTAGGGTGTTGTTCTTGTATTCTTGGTTTTAGTTGAAAGGAATTCCTTCTTTTGCTTGATCTGTATTATTTGTTTCATAATTGTATGGCAGAATCAAGTTTGAGCTGTCCTGCTCTTGTCTGTTGAAATTTTGTGAAGGGTTTTTGAAGGAAAAAAAAAGCTCCTGCACAGATTGAGAATTGAGAATTGAGAATTCCTACTTGCCGGTAGATTCATGGAGATGCGAGAACATAGAGAAATGAATCTGTAATTTTTTATTTTTTTGGGGGACATAATTAATGGACGATGTTTTATCGAGCTTTACCTCATGTAGTATTAAACTTGACGTTGTTCATTCTTTAGGAAAAGTAGGAGTTCATTCTTTAGGAAAGTAGGAGTAGTACGTGCCCTGTTTTTGTGAATACTTATAGTTGCAATTGTCATATTGCCTTGATTTTCAGCTTAAAGCTTGGATTGCTGTTGCAAATTGGATGTGCATGGCTTGTTTTTTTACATTTTTTGGTCATTTGATGAATGAACCATTATAATATTGCGAATTAAAACATTAATTTGCCTTCCCTTCTATTATACAAAACCAGCTTTTCTGTTACAACACTCAAAGTCCGAAGTCAGGTTTCCAATCAACATATTTTGTGAATTTAAAGTCAGGGGTTTTGACATGTTGATTGAATGCAGGAAGATATAATAAGCTTTATTGTACGTTCTTTCTATTGTTTGTAGGATCTGATAACGTTGGATGCTGCCCCAGATTTTTCTGAAGAGTCAACACTTGTTGAGTTTATTCCTAGCGTCCGATCGGGAAGTTTTACTGATATTGGGCCACGTAAATCCATGGAGGATGAGCATATACGAATTGATGATCTGTCTGGCTATCTGGGCTCTGTGTTTACTTGCCCAACACCCAGTGCCTTTTATGGTGTAAGTAATCTATTTATCTGGTGTTGAGCCTCTCCATTGCCAGGGCATAACATTGGTTATTTGCTGACAGCGTTATGTGTTTAGATTGATGAACAATGATTTTGACTCCCTCTGTACAGGTTTTCGATGGCCATGGTGGACCAGATGCAGCAGCATATATCAAAAGACATGCAGTTAGGTTCTTTTTTGAAGATGCTAAGTTCCCAAATGCATCACAAGCTGATACGGTCTTCCTAGAATCGGTAGAAAACTCAGTACGGAATGCATTTCTTCAAGCTGATCTTGCTTTGGCTGATGACTGCACTGTCAGTACATCTTCTGGAACCACTGCTCTCACAGCATTAATTTTTGGAAGGTGCGTGAACAGTGAGTAAATGGTGCTAGATTGTTATTTTGTATGATTCTCATCATCTGACTTTTTTGCATTTATTTTTTTTGCAGAATTCTGTTGGTGGCGAATGCTGGGGACTGCCGAGCTGTATTATGTAGAAAGGGTGAAGCTTTGGAGATGTCACAGGACCATAGGCCCATCTATGCGGTTGAGTGCAAAAGGGTGGAGGAATCTGGAGGTTTTATTGATGATGGGTATCTCAATGGAGTCCTCTCTGTGTCAAGGGCACTGGGAGACTGGGACGTGAAACTTCCAAAGGGCTCTCTCTCACCTCTTATAGCAGAGCCGGAGTTCAGGCAGGTAGTTCTGACTGAGGATGATGAGTTTTTAATCATTGGCTGCGATGGTATATGGGATGTTATGTCAAGCCAGCATGCTGTTAGTATAGTGCGCCGAGGACTCCGGCGTCATGATGATCCTGAGCGTTGTGCCCGGGAGCTTGTGATGGAGGCTTTAAGGCTCAACACTTTTGACAATCTGACAGTAATTGTTGTTTGCTTTACTTCTGAACATTGTGATTCTTCTACATTGCCAGAGCAGCAGCGGTTACAGCCACCAGCTCCACCGTTGAGACACTGCAGCTTGTCCACGGAAGCCCTTTGCAATCTTAAGAGCTGGCTAGAAAAGGATTATGACCGGAACTAGATGGACAGGAACTAGTTTGTATAGATTTTAAGAGACAATGTGCCATGATTGTGATGAAAATGGGATTGATTCTATATTTTTATTCATTTGTGCTGCCTTGGAAGTAGTAATCCGTTTTGTTAGCTTCCGGCAGTCTGCAGTAATGTGTTTGGTTATGTCTTTTTTTATGATTGTTGTTGTTTTTGTTTGTATATATCTTTGTTAAAAGATAAGGAAGGCTTATGATTAGTCACAGATGTATTATTATTTATGATTATTATTGCCATTGGGGTATTGATTTGATCTGATCCGCTTTTTTCAGAACTACTGATGTTGTAATTTCTTTCTTATATTAGTAAGTGTAACTGCTAATGTCCTGTTTATTACAATTTGGATCTGTAAATGGTGGCTGTAGCAGGCCATGTTTCAGCCACCTACTTTCTGACTTTGGTGAGATTTGTATCGTAATTAGTGTCAAGGATTTATGTTTTAAGGTGAAAGATCTGCCACGTTTTGCGCGAGTAGCAATGGTGGATTTCCGTCGTCTTTGATGGAACGGGTTCTAAATTTTTAATTCTTATGCCTTATTTGCTGGTTAGGTATGCATTTATGCTAATAGTTGATGTTGAGCATTTACACTGCCTTGTTTGGTCTGAGGTCAGAGACTCCAAAGTTCAAGGTTGTTGTCGTTGTATCATCTTCAAAAGTGGCATTTACATTTGCATCATGTAAGAATTTTTATGTATTTATATATTTAACATCTAAATTTTTAATTTTTTAATTTATCAAAATTTTCAAGTAACATCAAAATTATCATTTTTTTTATTGAAAAAAAATGATATGAATCATTTAAATCATTATAGGGTGTCTTCTAGAAGTGATGCATTTTATGACCGGAATATAATGAAAAGTGTGTAAGGGTTATTATGTCGGCGTCTAAGTGTAGTGTCAAATAAATAAATGTTCCCGCAACCATCGATGGATGCAAGCAAATAAGTTAGTCTATCAAACTAATTTTAGTATAAGAACCTAAAATATATATATTCTCACAAACAAATTAATTGAATTAGTATATATTATGGTTCATAGAAAGATGAACAACTTATGTATTTAAGAAAATAAATAGGTTAGAGAAAAATGCTAATGAGATTGATAGTTTAGATTTTAAACTTTAGTAAACTTTAGTATTCAGGTATATGTTGCACTAGAAATGGTGTGGGTGTAGTCATAGATTAGAGTTTGAAAAATAATGTTGTAGAAAATAGATAAAAATATAGCATTTAATATTCTTTTTGATATTAAGATTTTTTATGTTACAAGTGCTTGTGTTCCTAGAGCAGGTTTACTTATAGTTTCAAATAAAAATTCTTGAATGCACCTTTTGAAGAAAAATATTTTTATTGGAGGAGAGTGGTAGAAGATTTAGAAATATTTATGATGGTTACGATTTTGGAGTGATTAATGAAGCGGTAGAACCATATTAGATTTTGTTTTAGCATGTGATTTTATTTTTCCTAATACTTTATTTACGAAAAGAGATAGCATTTTTTTACTCATAAAAATGGATCTAATAAAACACAAATTGATTATTTTTATATGAGAAAAAGAGATCGTCTAAAATCCAACGATTGTAAGATTATTTAAAATAAAAATTGAAGTACTCATTGATGGAGATGTAAGGAATACAATGAAGCATTATCATAGAATTAGATGTGAGCACCTCAAAGCCATAAATAATTTTTTTTTTTTTAATATGCTTGATTTCAAGATTTTGGGATGTACATAAGAAAGTTGTTTCTATGTGTGATAAAGTAACAAGTACTATTAAAAAAGTAACAAAAGATGTACTTGGAGAATCGAAAGAAAATATAAAATAGTTGGCGATGAAATAATAACATGCATGAAAAGTTATAATTTAAGAAGTATTATAAAAAATGGTTTAAATGTTAAAAGCTTAGAGAATTGGGAAAAATATAAAGTGTTTCATAGTGAGATTAAGAGAACAATTTGTGATGTTAAAAATTCTAATTTTAGTGATCTTTATAATAGATTAGATACTGAAGAGGGTGATATATATATATACATATAGATATAGATATATATATATACATATATATATATACATACAACTCCCTACAAAAGAGTGTGTTATATATATGCTATCCAAACAAAAGGAAAAGAAAAGTAAATATTTGATTCAAGTGTATTAAAGATGAAATCAAAAAGTGCTTTTCTTAGAAGAAGATATTTAACATAGATGAGTAAGCTATTTTGATAAACTTTACAATGATGTTTCTGAAACCATGATCGACCTTAATGTTCCTAATATTATTAATAATAATAAAACATTATATTTTTACTTTCACATTAGTTAAAAAGGAGTTGAGGAGGCTTTAAAGAAAATCAAGTGTAGAAAATTAGTTGGACTTGATGATATCTGATACACCTAAAATATATAATATTTATGTACACATTTTTATACCCATTTTTGAGATATTACGCTTTAATAGAAGGTACTTGTGCGTTTTCTTCTTTCAAGTACAATCAAATGAATGAAAATTGATGAAATGAATGAAAAAGAATCAAACTTGGAGGAAAAATGAAGAAAGTATGCAAAAGAACTGTGGCGCCTAAGCGCCCAGAACTAGAGCTTAAGCGCCAGTAAAATCGAGAAGTCTGCGCTTAAGTGCCAAGTGCCTCGCGCTTAAGCGGCAGAAGTAGTTACTTGGTGATTTAATGAATTTGGATGAATTTTTTAAGAGGTGTTTGAAGAAACTCTTGGTTACGATGTCGTTACGTTTTGACTGTCTCTAGTGATAACGTAACTGACAACAACCAATTTATCCCCAATTTTGATTCTCAAAATTGTCCTTAAATCATAAAAAATCTCGATGGATACATCAGTGGAGGCGAAGAAGACATCAAGAACACCAGCTATGAGAGTTCGGGGAGTAAGGAACTAGTCTTTGAGTGCAAAGGAACACCGATCGCAATCAACTTGGACTTTTTCGATTCAGAATCAGCTGCAGAAAAATCAACCACAATGACAGGAGAAAAACCTTTGGATCCGACTCAAAATGTGGAAGAGATAACAAAAGTAAATTTAAGAGGTGGGAAAGTGTTACCCCAGGGAATGGCTCCAACAGACAAGGGGAACCAAGTAATTACTCAAGAAGAGCCACCTCTGCCGACGGAAGAGTCGCATGCCTAGAAAAGAATCGGAGGCTCAAACAAAGTAGATTACAACGTGCTAGCTCATCTTAGGAAGTTGACAACCAAACTAAAGATTTATGATGCTCAGATCCTGTCAAAGGAGATTAGAGAGACATTCATCAAGGCCTTACTTGATTCAGAAATTTTCTTATCTCAAATGGCTAACACATCCTCGAATGAAGTTTATTTGTTAAAGAGACATTCCGGGGTAACCTTCACCGATGAAGACTTGATGCTTGGTATTACTGACTAGAGAAAAATATGTTGAGATTTTTATACCTTTTTTATACTGTTTTTAATGATATTGGACTTTAAAGAAAGGTATTTTAGATGTTTTGTTGCAGGAATGATGAATTAGGGTCATTGGAGCAAAAAGATGCTAAAAGGAGCGAATTTGGAGTGAAAAGGACCAAAATATGGAGATTTAAACAAGGCCGCCAACGGCGCCCTCGACCCCGCCAATGGCGAGTTTTTCCCGAGACAACAGGAAAAAATTCTCAGAAGTCCACCGACGGTGGCCTCGAGGCCGTCGATGGCGAGATCGAGGGTTATGCCTACTCAAGCTTTGGATAAGGCCAAATTTTGAAGGGCTGCTTAGGCAACTCTTGGGAAAGCTCATCAAGCTCATCCAGCTCATCCACAACTTTAAAAGACTATTTTGGCTGAAAATTGGAGAGCCTGTAGAGGGAGGGAAAGAATCTAGGGAGTAAAGTAAGTGCAAAAGAGAGTTCCTAGAGATTAGAAGGTTCCAATATTGTGATGAATTCTTCGAGAAAATGTAAGAGTGGAGGGAAAGTGAGAGATTTCTTCCTCCTTGCTACTTCGAGGAGGAATTCTGTGTGTTGTAAAGAAAGGAAGAGATTCAGAGGAACTTCGAGGAGTGTTCTTGGGGAGAAACTAGAGATAAGTTATTTACTTGTTGTAGTTTGTATGACTTTCATTTTATATATGAATTTTGAGTTTTGTTGTGTTTTCCCCATGAGATCTGAATAGGTTTCTCTGTCTTTCTCCTTGTCTTGAGATTTGTGAAATGGTGATTTGAATTGGTGAAGCCATGAAAATGTTTCAAAAATTGTGATGATCTTTTCACTTTGATCTTAATTTACTTTCAATCTAGCCAATTGATTTGTTAAAATATGTTGAGTTTTACA